AAGAATAAATGAAATTGTAAAGAAAAAGAAGCAAAGAAGATTTTTAAAATGGTTCGGCGAGTTCAAATCAAGCCTACATCCACTGTATCTTATTCAAGTGGTTTTTGCCTTACAGTGATAGTCTCTCCTCTCAAGATTTTCTAAACCCTTTTACAATTATTTTTTAGGGGTTTTTTATACTATGAAATTGCAACAGTTACAAGAGAAATTTTAGGGATAATGACATGACTTTCGGGAGTTAATCCCATGATTCATGGCATGATTATTTCGCCGAAATTGTAGGGAATGTTCCCATGATATTCTCCTTGATTTTATGAGATAATGCGCTTATCTGTGATTTGGAAGATAGCTGCCCAACAACTTGTTCCAGTCTGATCGCCGCTTCACTATTTGCTTTGAGATATAGCTCACTCCAAACTACTGCTTGCTCCAAGTTGATCGCACATCCTCGCACAATAACATTAAAAGTTTTATTCTAAAGGATAATGATAACACCATTATATTGCATGTGTGTATATGCATTGGCTTTTGAATGACAGTAAGTCGAAGTGTTCAACCCAAGTTTAAATGCTCTGAACTTACTAATACAGTAAGTGTGGGGCTAGTACTATCATGGTATGGCTTTCTCTTTCACAATTATTTTTCCTTCAAGAGTAAACGACATTTTCCCACCCAAGGTTTGGCGAATCTTCAAGTTCCCACCCCTGGTTTCATATATGCAAATTCCCATCCTTAAATTAACGCCTTTACTTTTTTCTCAAAATAACCCATACATCTCAAATTTCTCTCAAATAACCCCTAGAGGATCCCGACCAAGCCAATAATCTGGCCTGATTCTGGTACCATTGGACCTCCCCAACATCACCATCAGCATCCCCTTATCCTCCTCACCAAAACTCTTAACTTTTCTACCCGATTGCACCTCGACGAGGTGCCGGAATTTGGCTGGAAAAGGGTGAAAAAATGCAAAAACCTAAGGGAAAGGTGACGGCGATCAGTGGGCAATTGCAGTCAGAAATGTTGGGGGTTTTGATGGGGGGAAGCCGACGATGCTATTGGTGGTCTTAGGGGTGGTTTTTGGTGTAGGAACTAGGGGTGTTCAAAAGCGGTTAACCGAACCGGTTAACCGCTTTTTTGAACCGAACCGGTTTTTCGGTTCGGGAAAATTCCCGAACCGAAACCGAACCGGTTTAGAGGGAAAACCGGTTTTTCGGTTAACCGAAAAACCGGTTAACCGCTTTTTTTAAAGCGGTTAACCGGTTTTGAACCGGTTTTCCCTTTTTTTTATAAAACTTATTTTTTTATTTTTTCCTAAATTAAATTGTAAATATAAATAATAAATATCCAAATAAAAATTAGACATTCACATATATCCATTGACCACTACTAATGATACATTAAAAATATTATTATTTTTTATTTAATATATAATATATAATATTATTATTTTTTATTTAATATATAATATTTATTTTTATTTAATATATATATATATATATTNATAAATAATCGTCCACACCTCCATTTTTTTCACACCCACTCTCAATCTCTCTACTCCAATCCAATTCTCATTCATATTCTCTTCAATTCAATTTATATTTAAAATTTATTCATATTATTATTTATTTATTTATATTATTCAATTGGAGAAGAAGTACCTCTAAATAATGTAGTTGTTCGGTTCATCTTCAACCGAACCTAATAAACAAATTCAAACTCAACTTAATTTTAATCCACAATCCTCAACTTTGTCAACATGGCAATATAATGCACTCCAAGCACGAGAGGAAATAGCAAAATACATAGTTGTTATGGACTCTCTCCTTTCTTTATCTGAAAATCCTTATTTTATTTACATTATTAAAAATGCATTTTGTCCGGCATATACCTCTATTGGTAGAGGTACAAGTAGAAGAGACATACTAAAACTTTATAACAAAATAAATGTTCAACTTAAAATCGAATTCAAAATTTTAGGAATATATCTATTGCATTTACTTCAGACATATGAGCTTGTAGATCAAAAACAGATTTTTTAATTGTCACAATACATTACTTAGGTTCTAGTTGGGGTTTACAACAAAAATTGATAGGTCTTAGACCATTATATATTGCACATAATGTTGACACTATTTATTTTACAATTCTTGAAGTTTGCAAAAATATGTATTAACTGATAGAGTTGTAGCGCTAACGCCAGATAATGCAACTGTTAACACCACGACTATTTCTTTATTTGAAAAGAGATTGGATTCGCGTGATGAAGGCAATTTTTTTCTGACAATTTTTTTCACCAAAGAGGTGCTTGCCACATTATCAATTTGATTGTTAAAGCAGGTTTAGAAGCTATAAATTTGAAGATTGAGAGGGTGTGCGCGGCTATCAAATTCATCGTCGGCGGTAGTAGCAAAAGATGACTAGAGTACGTCAAATATTAGAAGCAAGAGGACTCACTGGTTCAACCTTTGAAGTTATATACAGAGATGCATATCTATTGGAACTCCACCTACTTTATGTTGGAAAAAGCTTTGCCAATCGTAAGACAAATTACAAATTTCATCAACCGGAGGAACTTGTCAGCTATGATGATTGGACAGTTTGCGAACTTTTTTATTCATTTCTTAAGATTTTTTATGATTCTAGTAATACATTAAGTAGTATTTATTATCCTACTACTAATTTAACATTAGATATTTTACTTCAAATTTTTAAAACTTTTGCTAAATATAGATATAATGACGCCTTAATGGAAATTGTTTTAAAGGTGGAAAAAAAAATACAAAAAATATTGGTTAGATATTCCATTCTTATATGGATTAGGCCTTGTTGTAGATCTTAGGTTTAAATTACACGTAATTGATTTTATAATTACTAAGATAGACTAGCATTTAGGATATGATTATACGTCTTATTTGATTAACTTTAAGCAAAAATTAGAAAGCTTTTTTTCTTTATATTAGAGTAGGTACAATGGAAGTGGAACTGGAACTAGAACATCCAACAGAGACGACCAGCAGGACTCTGATGAAGACATCTATCAAGGATCGAGCATGTGAATATATATGGAACGTGGCGAAAGTAGCAGCTCCAGCTCATACATACATGGACTAAATGAGCTGAATCGTTACCTACAAATGGACATGTCCTACATGACGAAGAAGGAGAAACGTGAGATGGATGTGCTTCAATGGTGGAACCAACATCAAAGTTGATTCCCCATTGTAGCCCAAATAGCACGTGATATTTTATCTGTGCCAATTTCTACAATTGTATTTGAGTCAGTATTCTCAACGAGTGCTCGAATTGTTGAAGACAAAAGATGATCCTTAACCAATGAGATGATTGAAGTGATAACGTGTTTATGGGATTGGATTCATGCAGAGAGAAGACTACAGCAACACCCTGAAGATCTCGAACAACTCGAACTCTTCAGGAGCACAGATTTGAATTATGTAAATATTGTTGACGATGTAGATGAATAATTTAATAAAAACAAATTTATTTAATTGTTCATTTGTAAAGTGTGAATGTGTGATTATTACATTTATGTTAAAATTAATTAATTAAATTATCTCTTTAAAATTTAAATTTAAAACACCCCATATTTATAAATAATTATTAATTATAATTAACAGTTAATTAATTAATTAAAAATTTACTAATCTCCCCTTAAAATTTATATAAACCCCTCTATATAATTTTATTTGGCCCCTTAAATATAAAAAAAATAAAAATTGGGGGAATAATTTTTTTAGGCCCATAGCGGGCCTAGGACCCATGAGTAGTCTTGGGACTGGTCCCAATTGGCCTTAGACCCGGACCCACTTGGGAAAGGTCCCTGCCTAGGTCTATTTCTGATCCTCCGTTTAGTTTGATATTAATTTTTCAACTACCAATTAAAAAGTCACGGACCCAATGTATTGATTCTAGGGATGGGCACCGGTCGAGCCATGGTCGTGGCCGAGGACCCCTGTCTTCGGCCCTGGCCTGAAAGCTCAAGGAGATTCCTCAATCCTGGCCCATAACCTGTTTAGGGAATTTAGGAAATCCTCGAATAAAACTCGTTCCCTAAATCCCCGACTTCCCCATTTGGGGGTTTTATGTCTTTTTGTGTCCTTATTACCATTTTCTCCAAATTATAATATACCATCAAAAAAGAAATTAAATCTATGATGATTTATTGATTTATTATAATCGACCAAAACATCAAATGATATATATATATATATATATTAGTATATGATTATAGATAATAACTAATTATGTATAACATATATATGTTATATACATTATACTTATATACCATATATAATGTATAATGTATAATATATATATGAGTTCGGCCGAAGATTTTGGGGTGGGGACAAAAGAGGGCCAGGACGAGGCGAGGTAAGACCTATCCCGACCCGTCCCAAAATTTTGGGACTAATTTTGGACTTGATCTCGGCCAAAATCCTAAATGATTCAGAGAAATTCTACCCCGTTCGAGGCGGATCCCATGGGATCGAGTTTTATGTCCATCCCTAATTAATTCCATTCATTGAAAGGATTGAGACAAGTTACGTTACCTTTGACACTGAATTGTTGTTATTATATGTTAAGACATTTAATTCGTCTAACTATGTCGTCACAGACTTTGATTGATTGATTATGTAAAATCAAATAAATTTCCATAAATAATGCAACGATTATGGCAAAGTACACTCGATGTTTTTCCCAAGACCATATGCAATTTAAAGTGTAAAATTGACTGTCTTTATTGTTTTTGAGCTGTTTTCCTTCCATAAGCCTCTATTTTAAGATCCATTTGCTTGATATGTATGGTGGCACTAGTCCATAAATCATCAATAATTTTTTTTACTGATTTTGACAAGACAAATTTAGTGCATATGAAGTGAAACATCATAAAAGCTAAGCATCGTAATCTGACAATAAAGAGTACAAAGATGGAAAAACAAAAACACAATAAATTATGTACAAATTCAACTATAATTAGGGCTCAACAAATTCAAGTCATCCACCATGTTACTTTCTGACATATAATTAACAACACTCATATATTAAAGGATTAAAAAAAAAAAAAAAAAAAAAAACTTAGTATTTGTTAGCTCTCCCTGTAAATAGTATCAGTGTTAAACTAGGATGATTATTATTCATAAAATCACCTGCCTATTTATGGACTCAATGCTTGCTGCTCTGTTAGCTTGGATGCCCTGAAAAGACAACACAAATATTGGTCGTCAAACTTATAAATACAGGAAAAATGAACGGCTTTGTGAGTTTTTGATGTATGAATTTTGGAAAATGTTTACTTAAAAACTTAACTACTCCCTTAAACGCCACTAATCCTCTCCAATGTCAACGAATTTATCAGTACTACAGTGTCTCGTTTCATTATAGGACAGGGACACAACTCTCGTTTTAAACAACACATAAACAGAAATTAGATACTATCACTATTCAATTTTGAAGTAGTAAGTGGCACATCCCTCCGCCAAGATGTGGGGTCGTGTAATCGTTGGCTAAATTTAAATTCTCGTGGACGAACAAAGCAGGGGCAGGCTTATCAGTTATTGGTCCCAGCATCATTTTACACTCATGTAATAAGGCATAAATTAGCATAAGATTGATACAATTAAATATGTGAACAATTTATCAGGTTATACCTGAATCATGAATGAGTCTCTGGTTTCACTGTGTTTATCAAATCTTCGTCCCTTCTCACAAACAGTCCAGACCAAATGGATTCACATCAAACTATCTTCAAGGTGAAAAAATCTGCTGCATCTCTTCGAAATCTCAACTGCTAGGCTTGTTTAACTTCTGGAACTAATTTTAGCCCTGTCATTAACTTTTTACTTGTTTCAGTTATCAACATGACTGGCTGGAGTTTTTAAGTAATTACACGCAAAGGAATCATACCTAAAAGATTCACAATGACTGGACATCCTGAATTTGGCTCAACCTTTTAACCCAAATTGAGTGCAGTATCATGTGGAACAAATCATATTTGACTGGTATAGGGTTCCAAAAAAAATGCTTCTGAACCATCTTTAAATTTGCTTGCATCCTGAGATATTTTCTCAAAGGAATAGCCAATAGAATCTCCTTTAGTTTGGGAATATCCTTCTCAGCTACCACAATAGAGAATGCACTCCAATCTAGTACTTCACTGAGAGGTAGGACAAAATTATCAGCAATAATCACTGGAACACATTCATAATATATGGACTCAACAATCCTGGGACTATTTACTTCAAAACCCATGGGGCATATGCAATACTTGCTTGATTTCATGTGTTGAATATAAGACATATTTCTAGCGACATGAACAGGTAAACGACCATAAATTTTCATGTCCTCATCTTTCCTCCAATACTTGAGAAGAATAGGTCGGACCCTACCATGCATAAATCCAGCGAAGAAGGCAAGGATTGGACGCTGAGATACTCTATTTCTCGCCCCAATATACCTATGAGGTCTCCTGGGAGTTCTTATGGTGGTTTCTGGCAGGGAAACATCATGTCCAGCCTTAAAAATACCTTCAGATGTATCAGCATTACATAGAGCTTTTATGGCATTTTCTTTTAGTTCCTTGTGCGAAGTTGTTGTGTAAGGACCCTGCAAAAGTCAAATTATAAGTTAGATCACAGGAAAGTTAGGGAAACAAACATGATAAAACTAATGAAATTGAATGCACATTCAGATATTTCTACTGAAAGGAGAATCGGCTACCTTACCCAATCATGGCAAGCAACAAAAAAATGATCTGACCCATGAGTGCGGTTCCAGAAAGGATACTTGGCAGCAATAAAGTTCACCCAGTCCCTCAGATGGTTTGCCAGTGATCCTATATCATGTGAATTGGGCTTATAAAGTGTCCTCCCTAACTGGTATACACTATATGGCAGATAAAATAAGTGAGCTTTTCCTGGATCTCTTGTGACAAAATGACTGTTTGCCTCCATTAACTTCATAAACCATCCTTCAGAAGCATAAATCCCTTTTAGCTGAGGTTGATGAAAGATGGGCCTCTTTCCCTCATGGTAAACGTAGACCTTAAGTATCATTTCCATCAATTCATAGCTCCTGAACTCATCAAAACTTATGATTCTAAATATACTATATCTATTAACATAATTGACAGAGTAAAATGAAAACAATTTTTTAAAATAAACAGAAGAATTAAAAGCCTGGTGAAAGGTTAAATAGTACACTACAATTCAAACGACTACTGGATATTCTAGAGACATTGCTACATAAGTAATTAAAGAAGCATAGAACAGCCATTGCTAGATAAGGATCTTCTTTTTAAGAAAAAAAGAAAATGATATAGTTACTCCAAGTTCGAGATTGGATTATTATTTCCTACTCATAGTTCAGATGATTTGATTTCTTAATGAATCAGGCAAAGGCTCCCCTACCTATCTCTAGTAAATTATGAAACAAATGGCAAGAACTTTTACGGCAGAAAATGCAAATGTATATTGAGAGAGTTAAAACTATGGTCAAAGCCAAAATGAAAAGTAAAATACTACAGGAATCTTAAGAACTTGTCAAAACCATAATATTATGTGCACAGAACTGCAACATAGAAACAATCAAATCACCAATAACTGGTTGGTTAATCACTGTATCATATCAACATTAGTCTTTCATTTAGTACAAAATTGGATGTCCAAATTTAAGACCATTGACAAAACATCTCTCTATTTATAAATCCAATTATAAACAATGTGACCCAAAGACATAGCATTTTAGACAAAAGATGATAGTGTAAAGTTATTAACAAATATTTTGAAGCAAAAGAAAGAAAGAGCTTCTCTAATGTATGATATATACCTTTTGAAAACAGAAACATTTTGAAATACAGGAGCATACAGTTCAGGATCTTCAATATTGACTGGAGCATGCTGAATCTCCCTTTTAGCAAACACAAGTGCCTCACTAGATGACAAGGTCCAAATGTGTCTCTGAATTTTATGTGACAAAGTATTAAGATAACTAGCAGTAGATATCTTTATTGTACTTGATAGGAAAACAAAAATAAACCAGAACTTTTAAAAATTTTACCTGCAAACGAGATGGTGGTGTTGCAGGAGGAGGCAGAGGAGGACTTGCTATGACTTTTAACTCCTCGCCTCTTCTCCTTTTTCTCATCTTCTCGATCACTTGAACAGAAGAATTCCTAATGGGAGTAGCTGTAATGTGTTGAAACTGTTCAGTTCTTGCCACATTGAGGCTCTCACTCAACTGGATAGAACCATTCAAGGAACTGTGTGAAAGAACTGTTACAGGCTGTGAGAGAAGCCAAATGTGAAGGACAAAACCAGCCATAGTCACAATGGCTCCAGCAAAAATCAGTTTTCTCCAACCAATGGAAAGCCACCGAGAACAGTGCAATAGATCTCTCATCATGAAAAAAGCAGCACGCTGCAGTATTATTTTCGTCCTTCTAGATATAAACATATCAACCTTAACAATCAATCAAAGAGTAATATTAGGAAGAAAAGAAATTGAAGGCAAGCCGCCAAATATGAATGCATAACTAATTAATTTATGAATTATGAAGACTAAATAAAATAAGCATTGCTAATCCTTAATTTTCAAAACCTACGTACTATGGGAGAGGCTTCACCAAACTTTTATCAATAAGCAGTCAATGAACTTGGACTAATCTACATGAAAAAGAAATAACTGAATTTAATTTAATATTCCCAAATTTTATTTAAAAAAAAAAAAGGAAGAAGAAAAAGAAGAAATCCAATCAAATATGAAATAAAGATTAAAATCAAAGAAAATAAAATCACATTTACGAGAATGTATCACATCACTATTGAGTAAAGTTTTACAAGTTAAATAATCAAAACAGCTTAATATTTGGAGTGAAGTAAATTTATACAATCAACAGTTCTTCATTACCTCTTTCAGTAGCTGTTTAATAACTAATTACAATCAAACCCATTAAAGTAGATTCTAAAACTGAAAAATTAGCTAGTAACACCATGAAATTACCCTACTCAAGTGACGAGCATATAATTATATCAAAACATAAAATCATTTACCTATTTTGGTGGCTCCAGCCTTGATTAATCAGCTTTTTCGGATAACCTGGCATCAATTCAAATCCATTGAAAATATCGAAAAGTGATTCTAATTCTAAGGCCCAAAATGAAAATTAATTCAATTTTGTGGACCCAAAAGTAAATAAATAACAGAATTTTCCGTGATTGAAACCAAAGATTGAGACTAAACATAATTGCAATATGAATCGAAGTAAATAAATTTAATTCTCTGTATCGAATTTTCGGAAATTTAAACAAAATACAGCTATCAGAAACGCATTACATGAATCAAGGGATATATAAAATGAAACAAAAGAAAAAAAAAAAACAGAGAGGGATAAGTTGCATACCTTAATTAAGAGGGAGCCATGCTTCCGGAATTAAAAGAAAAGCTCTTTTAAGGAGCGAGATTGAAGCATATTATGGATCTGAAGTTGAGCGAGAAGAGGCAGGGAGCTAAAACGAAACTGAAGTGAGAGAGAGAGAGAGAGAGAGAGAGAGAGTAACAGAAGATGGCGTGTAATGGAGGGAAAGCGAGAGACGCGGTAACGGTTCTCATATGTTTTATTTAACTGCCCCCGGACTTTTTTAAATTTAAATTTTTCTGTTGTTTTAATTATTTCTTTTTTTAATCTGAAAATACAACATATAATAAAACAAATTATTAGATAATTTTTTGTACATTAGTTACTAAAATATATTTATAAACATATTAAATTATAAACCATAAGAGTTTGGTGGTGATTAAGTTTTCACTAATATAATGGAAAATTGATTCCATGAGTGGTGTTGCGCTGTCAACATGTGGATTGGCATAAGTGTATTGAGATGCCCCTCCTTTGGTCCCAAATCCCATTGGCATGACCATGATAATATATCCTTCCTCTGCGTTTAGTTTTGTTTGTTCTGTTAAATTTATTGTAATTATTAAAAACAAAATTCAGAAACTACCTCTCAACACTAACGTTGTCAATGTTTCTCTTAACTTACGATTTTATTAAAAGTGAAATAAATTTTTTCTTGGTTCACTATAGGCGAAATTTTTTTTAACCAATTAACTATGACTCTATGATGGAAATATTTAAAATAAATAAGCAGAAAGTGTAAATCACGTTTCCATGATATCAAATTTGTCAATGTTAGATAATGATTTTTTCTACACTCTTTCATTTTGTTCCTCGCAACCATCACCTAAAAGTCATCAATCAATGGTAGGAATAAGGCTGCAATACATTTTTCCACCCTAGTTTTGCCGAAAAAATACTTTCCCACACCTTGAATAACCTAAACTACACATTTTCCATTCATTAAATGTAACGGCAGAATGGTCGTTTTGCTTGCTTTCTCAGTAAGCTTTAGCTAAGACGCGCCACATGTACTTCTTCCTAAGAAAAATATATATACATATAAACCAAATATTTCAGAGCTCTCCCATATGCTAATCAAATATTGTTTCCTTTCCGATTTTTTTCCAAACAAGAGATACGAACTAGTTCTTTTATTTGTTGTTCTAATTCCAATTGAGAGTGCACTCAATCAAAATCTGTTATTGTAGCCTGGAGTCGAACCGCCACAACCTTCTACACTATAATCAAACTTGTAGGGTGAAATTTGTCTTTAGGCCAATGCTTCCTAGCATGCCTTGGTGCTTTTTCTTTTTCCTCCATTGTTCTTGAGCTCCCATTGTTGTTTCCAATTAATCAGGTTTCATTGAGGTTTTTTTTTTGTTTTTTTTTTTTCAGAGGCGCATAACCTTTGACGTTTATACTATCACAATTTTAATTGCTTTGCCATCTTAAGTCTTTCGGTTAGTACATACTTCTGCGTTTAATCGTTTGTTTCTTGCGCAAAGTTTTTTTTATTAATCTATCTGTTTCTTTTTGTCTTAATTTTGGTTTCTTATTTGGTTAATTGTAAAGGGTTGGGTGTAATTCAGTAATTGAGTCCAAGGGTTCCAACTGATATTTTTTGCTTCACTTGTCCTTCAATAATATTTTACAAACTACGATCTAAAGACAGATTCCCTAAACAAAATGGAAGCTACTTTGAATACGGCCAAGTTATTGCCTGATGTATCCAAAATTCAGACCTTTTATGGTTTCAATTTCAAGAAATGGAAGAAAAAGATTATTGACACCGTCGATGTAATCAACATTGCGGAATACCTCACGTAGCTAAAACATGAGTCAGATACTGAACATTATGAAATGAACTTTATGACAACTACTGTCCTTTAAAAAAGCAACATGAAATATGGGAAAACATGATAAAGAAGCTTGTAACAGAAGATGGAGCCCAAAAATATGCCATAGAAAATTTCCTGGACTTTAAGATCGACACTACAAGAAAAAATACTTTTTGTAACCATTTGTTTTTGCAACTAGACAAAAAATAGTTGCAGATACCCCATATTTAGTAACTAAATTCTAATTAGTCGGTCAAAGTGAATAAAATTCTAAGACCCATTTATTCCCGCCTTTAACGTCTAAAATTAATATTTTGCAACTAATGTGATTTATTGTCCAAAATATCACATCAGCAACTAATTTATTTGGTTGTCAATTCTTACGCCAACACAATTGACAACTATAACAAGAGATTTTACAACTAAAATTATGGTTACAGAAAATAATTATTTGTAACTACTGAATAGTTGCTAAATTATATGCAAATATTAATTAATTAATTTGTAACTATTTTTATTAGTTATAAAATAATACAATTACCGAAATATCCAAGCTTTTGACAATAATTACAAAGGGTCAGGGTACATTTGGCAACTAATTATTTTGTGCATATTACAACTAGTTGCAAAAACTCATGTATAGCAACTAAAATGTATTTAGTCGCTAAAAGTTGATGAATTTTTTTGAACCCAACTTTCCGGGTAAAATGAAAAAATATTATGTTAATAGGAATTTTTTTACAACCAGAATGTTAGCCACTAAATATTGTTTGTTAAAAATAATATATACTACTAATAACCAAAAGTTATTGTTTGATTCTACTTTTGCCGCCTACATTACCATCTCTTTGATTATACTTTTGCCATCTACATTACCCAATTGAAGGTAAATTTTTTTTTTTTTTTTTTAATGTCAAAGCTTATTCTTTTATAGATGTATTTTAATTTTATTGTTTGATTTTCAATCCATTTCTTCACAACATTTGCTTTAATTTGTTTAAGCATCTGTTGTTAGTGACGTTCCTAAATGGGTGGGTTTAACTTCATAATGGGTGATTTTATTTTTGTCTTCTCTTTCATCTGACATTACCATAGACTCTGTTTTTGTTTTGGTTTACACATGGGTTTTGTGAATGTTTATGCAGACGCATTTGGGGTTCCCCCGGGCCCGTAGGCGGTTTAAGCCTTTTCTATGTATAACCGCTCTAGGATTTCTTTAAGTTATTAATTTCTTCTTGGGTTTGACTTAGGAATAAGAATTCTTGTAAACTAGGTTTACTCACTTAAACCTAGTATATAAGCAGGGGCGGACCCAACCCCTTGGCCTACCCTCACATTTAAAAAAAAAAAAAAAAAAATTATTTATTTAGGCACATAAAAAAATTCTATTAATGTATATATCTAAGTCTATCATTGGATTTTTTAAACTTACTATTAATATATATATTCTAAACATACATCATATTAAAAGTTTAAAACTCTCTCTACTTTTCTCTATGTCCACCTGTTTTTTATGATTTTATCCTTAAAATTCTTTACTCTCTCATTCTCTCTTTCACTTTCTTCATGTTATTCGTTCTTAAAACTTTTGAAGACTGAAATTGTTGAAGCTTTCACTAATCAAGTTGCCACAATTAGCTTCGTTTTCTGTTTTATCAATTTTAGGTATGTGTAATATTACTTATTTCATTTTAGTTTATTTTAGGGTTAAATCATGCTTAATTTTTTGAGATTTTTTATTCTAATTTGATGGGAAAAAGCATGGATCTTGTGAGTTTGTTTTGTGTTTTGTGTCTAAGAATGTTCATACTTTCTCAAATTAAACATTAACTATATTTTACTGAACGTTATTCTTCACCCTTCACTCACCACTTTCTTACATTTCCAACGTCACCGTTTAGCTGTTTAAAATTATTTAAATAGTTTGAGTTATTATCTATGTTTATACTAAGAAAATTTTCCCTTTTTTTTTTATTAATTCATATTAAATAAAGTCAATGCAACATTAACTTAATTTAAATTTTGGTTAACTTTAGCTTAGGCTAGACTTGATCAAAGTTATAAAAACTTATATTATAATCTTTAAAAGCCAAAAAAAAAAAAAAAAAAAAAAATTAAAAGAAAAAAAAAGGAGAAATAAGAAATTTGTGTAAAATATTTTTGGTGGATTATGATTGTTGTAAACTCTTTTAATTATACTGAATTTAAGTGGATCGTTAGATTCTTATGGTCATTTGCTCTCTTTAATTGAATAGATTTTCCCACGTAAAAATTTTCTTGTATTTCCTAGTGAATTGGATATTATTTTCAACATAATTTGCTCAAGGTTTTGCTTCTCAAATATTTATTTAGGTAGTAAAGTATTGTGTTATTGCATTATTTTCTTTCGGATTATTGATATTGTATTATTTTTTTTACTCAAGGTTTAGTGATTTTTTTTAAGTTTTCACTAGTTGTTTGACAAACTATAGCGGAACTGCAGAGGCCCCTTCTGGGCAAAAATCCTGGGTCTGCCACTGTATATAAGCATTATTTTCTCTTGTTATGAGTGTGATATCAAATCATATGATAATTTATTTATTGTAAACGAGAGAGAGAGAAGTGAGAAAATATTATAATAATATTGACTCAGCTGGACGTAACCTGTATTTAGAAGCTGATGTATTTTTTTATGTATTGACATTGCATTTTGACATAATAATTAGTTCTTCAATGATACTTGAATTTTGTTTGATAACTTATGAATTGGTGTCGTTATTATAGGTATCCTCTCTTTGTTGACTTAGAGGTCTTGTTGACATCTTAGACTTTAATTTCCTTATTATGAATTTGGGATCTCTCCAACTCTTAACCCAAAACTAAGAAAAAACAATTGTTTTCTTTTGCATTTAAAAACACTTCATTTCGTAGTTTGGCCACTGCCTGCCTGCCTGCCTCCTCTCAAAACTCAAAAGCCAGCCCTCTATTTCTTTTCTGTTCCTCTTTATTAGGGTTTCTGCTTGTTACAAAGAGAAGCCTTGGGAAAAGTGGCACTGTTATTTTCAACAAATGGCTTTCTCTTCTCTCCTTAGATCTACGCCCATCGTTTCTCTTTCACGCGCCGCTGACTTCTCTTCCTTCTCCTCCGATCGTCTCAAGGTCCGATTGCTGTTCTCTGTTTTTGCCTTCGTTTTTTAGAAGCTCCGTTTGGTTGTTGTTGACTGAACTGAGCTTGGAATCTCAGTTGCCAAGAGTATTCAACCCATCAAAGCCACTGCTACAGAGTTGCCACCCATAGTTCAAAGTAAGAATAAAAGGATTTCATTTAGTGATTCATAATCTTGGAAACTAGTTTAATAGTGTGCTGATCTGTTTTGTTTTGTTAGAAACACGGAGCAGTGGGAGCACAAAGATTGGAATCAATGGTATGTTTTACTCTGATTGGAACTATTCTTTGTTTTGCTTATTTTGACTTTGAAGGGATTAGCGAAAGTAGTTGAAGGGTTGTGTTCATCTCTAACTAAATATTTAACTATTTGTTAAGTTCTCTTTGGTTGGTGGATGTTTAACTATTAAATAATGATTCATATAGTTATTTTCTGTGCAATTTTTTATTGAAAGTTTCAGTGGTAATATAAAAGTGTTTGGTTGAGCCTTTTTTTGCTTCATGATTATGTTTGGTAGTATAAACTTTTTCTTCCCTATAAATGATCTTGACTACCAAAATGACCTTTCAAAAAGTGCATTTCATTTCAATTTCAATTTCAATTTCAATTTCCAATTCCATTTCCGCCTTATCTGTACTTCATATTTTTATTTTATTTTATTTTATTAAAACCTGCTGATTCTCACACCGCCTATATATCTCAAACAACTCCTTCAATTTCCAATGGATGTAGATTGGATTTCTTTTAATTCAATCTCCTGTCTTTTCTCCTCCCATCGCCTTAATTTTAACGCTTTCCATTTTTTTTTGGAATTGATCTGCTTACTTATGATTTCTTATCCAATTGTTAGGTATGTTATATTCATTTATTATTAATTTATCCGTTCATTTTTAGATTTTTTATGTTTATGTGGTTGGTGACGATTTAGATTACGAGTTAAAGATGTTGAATTTACTTTAAAACACGCGCAAATTTGAAATTAGAAAATATTTTTAAATTTTCTGGTTAATGTTTTTGATGATCATATGTTTTATTTAAATGTGTGTTTGATTACAATTACAATAACAAAACAAAACGGCAATGAAAACTTCCAGTTTATGCTAGGGTTAATTGCTATAATGGTTTCCTGAAAATGGGTTTATGGTTTATAATTTTGTTGTGATCATTTTAGAATCAAGTCTTGGATAAGAGTGGAATATGAAAGGATTGGCAGTCATTGATTTTAGATTATATACAGCCTTAGTGGAGGAGGATTTTATGTTTGTAATTTGATCTTCTGGGTTATCTGGTCTGATTTGTATATTATAGGTTTGTTGTCTTGTATTAACTAGTTCATTTATCTTTAAGTACCTTTGGCTGAGTTTTGAGAAATGCATATAAAAGGAAACTGAATCGATTTATTTATGCCCGTTTTGTGTGTTGTTTTATAATTTTGTTGTTACATTCAGTGTATACTGGTCAGTTCTTTTGTAGGTGTCTATTACATTCTTTTAATGACTACAAATATGAAAATGAAATGTTTTCTTTGTAACGATCACTTCTGCTTTCTGGTTTAACTGCAAGTTTTTGGACTCATTCACGATCTTGTGGCTGAGGACGTAGTTATAATTTATTCAAGTCTTTAATCCTTCAGCTTTGTAGAACTATTTATTTCTGAATTGTTTGTCACATACTTTGGAGCACTGCATGAGTGTTTGCCTTGTGATCACAAAGTATAAATATTTCATAGTTTCAATTGTAGCGCATAGAGACTCAAAAGGTTGTGGTAGGAAATCTATATAGGGTGCTTGTGGTAAGTGTACATGCAATTATTGGTAACACATTATTAGCTGCATTTCAAATCACATTATTGTACGATGGATACCTTTGCTGACTTCATTTTGTTTAATTCATGTTTAACCATGTTTCATATCTCACATTAGTGTTGTTTATTAGTTAGAGATTGTTAATGGTTGCAATACATATATGTATAGTTGTCCTATTCAAAGGAATCATTTCACTTTGACCTTGTATACTGAAGTTTCATTGGAAGGTTATGCCAGAAAGTTAAGAAAGCTAATATTTGAATTGATGGATTTATTGCAATTGCTTGATGGACTATGAGTCTGTTAGGGTCTGCTTGGGAGTTTTTTTTTCACTAGTTTTGGGGGTTTTTTAATTAGACTGGTTTTGAGGTGTTTAAAAAGCCCCACTTGCCAGATTTTTAATAGGCTGGTTTTGACTGGTTTAAAAACCCCACAAAACCAGTGTAGTGTATTTTTGAGAGGTTTATAAAACATCCCAAATCGGGGTGTTTTGGCTGGTTTAAAACTTTTATCCCAAAAAAACCCCTTTCCACTCCCTTTACTGCACACAAATCTTTCGCCGTTGTTGACTTCTCTCTAGCACACAAATCTCTTACTGCTACACACGAAGTGTGTGAATGGTTTTAATTTGCTGCACACAACTTGTTTGGGTTTGTATTAGATTATCTTCACTTTCAGCAAATTAGGCGTCAACCAAATTAGGCATTTTGGTTTCTGATAGTTCCAAGAGAGTTGCTATTTGCAATCGCTAATTCACAAAAGAGTAAGTTTCGTTTTCTTGTCTTCTTTATTTGTTTATTTCTATATAATTAGTTTATTGTATTAGATTCTCCTCACTTTCAGCATTTTGGGTTTGTATTATAGACGAAGCTTTGTTGATTGTTTGCCATTTGCTTTGGTAATTCAATTTAACGAATTGTCTCTCTCTCTCTCCCTCTCAAGAGAATAATTACACGAGATACGGTGATTTCCCATCCGGGTTCTTGCTTCTTTTATGGATTTGTCAATGTATTTGCATGATTGATCATTCATCACTTTTGCTTTAAACTCTTGAATGTGATTGTCATTATCTTTTTTTATATTAATCTGAGTTAAAAGTATGTTAGTTTGGTGTAAAGATTGGATTTTGATGCCTGTTTATGAGTTGATTCTTTATTTCACTAGCTTTTCTTTAATACATTATGTTGGAATATGTAATCTCACTGTATGTGATCGCTTTCTTTGTAAAATGGCAAAGTCAGATACTTTTCTTGATTCAGTTTTGTTGATTCTGAAGGTTTCCTTTTTAATTTTTTTAAATTTTTTATATACATGTATACTCAAGGTTCTTTTTTTCGTTTTACGAATAAACTTTGTATATTTGTATGTTTTGATTAGTTTCATTGTGCAAGGGCTTATATTGAATTGGGAATGAGCCTATCAGTCATTTGCTTTGTTGAAGCTTTGTTGATTTCTCCTGTTTCAAACTTGTTTGCAAAAGTTCGTCTTTTATTATTTTTGAAATTCAAGTTTTTTCTACTTTCAAAACTTGTTTATACCAACAGTTGTTTGTAAAACAACATTGCAAGTTGTTAAATCAAGTTGGGAACGTGAGTTTGGGAAGGCATAGCAATTTAATGGAGGATCTGTATTTCTCTGTTCATTTTCTTTAAATAACTCCAGTAGTTTCTTTCTCAAAAAATCTTTTCAATAATAATAATGTATTAACTATTACATCAAAAAATCTTTTCAATAATAATAATGTATTAACTATTACATCTTCTCAAAACCTGAAAAGAAAAAGTTGTCAATTCACCAGCTATTTAAAAACCACCATTTTTAACGCCTCTCAAGCAAATCGTGACTAGTAATCTGTTTCTCCCATTTAACTTAATTTACAATCTTTCCTTTCTTTTCAAATTTTATTGGCTTGCTATTATTCTTCACTGGAGTCAAAACTAAGCATTCCAATTTGATAATTATAGCATCTTCTACTCTTACTAAATCAGATAACCATGAGACATACTAATGATAATGGAAGTAAAACCTAAAACCAGGTGTTAAATAAGAAACATAAGTTCAACTTTGTAAAGACACTTTTTCCACAAGACTCAGTAGTTAAAAACATGCAAGTCAAATTTATAACTTCAAAGTTAATTAAGTAAAAGAGAGAGTGTTTTAACTTTATGGGCATTTTATGTAAATTTATCATTTAAAAAAATTGTCAGAACTGTTGGAAAATAAACTTCCAAGCACAGATTGGGTGTTTTAAAAACTGTTACTAAAAACCCCTCAAAACCGCTACGATGGTTTACCCTCATAACCGTTACCATAAAACTCCCAAGCAGACCCTTAGGGATTGGCTTGAGCAAGAAGGAGGGACTGGGCAGCATTAAAATTCAATGTGGGTTACGGGGTTTCTTTCTCATTCCACTAATTGCTTACATACGCAATTCTACAATGATCCAATCATGGTAAAATATTTCTTATGCGTCTCAAATTGTGTAAAAGAGTTCTTGTTCACTTTTTTTTTTTTTTTTTTTTTCTCTTCTCTTGCAGGCTTACATGTTTAAGTATGATTCCACTCATGGAGTTTTTAAGGGAACCCTCAAGGTTGTGGATGAATCCACTTTGGAAATAAATGAGAAGCAGATTAAAATTTTCAGCAAAAGGTAGGGCCTCAGAGATCAAATGAAGATTTATATACTGGCGTGGTTTTATTGCAAACATATGTAATTGATTCTACTTAAGGTCTAACGTTTAACTCTCTACCTAGGGACCCGGCTGAGATCCCTTGGGGCGATTATGGGGTTGAGTATATTGTTGAATCTTCTGGGGTCTTCACAACAACTGACAAGGCTTCAGCTCACATAAAGGTTAGTTTTGAGTTTTTTGATGCTATTTTTTTTAGTTCATTGCTATTTTTTTACCTTTCATACATTTATGTAGAAATTTATGATATTGGTTAACTAAAATTACACTGCAAACACCGGTAAAGTTATGATATTGGTAAACTTATGTAGACATTTAACTTAGGTAGGCTGAATTTGAAGGGATTGAATTTGATGAGGTGACAATGGGAAGAGTTGAAACCGAGGGACAACAGTGTGGTGAAAGAAGGGATTGTACCATTTGAGCAGTTTCTATGTTTATGGTGTTTAGAGGATCAATATCTAAGATTGAAGTTGTTGGTTGTCCTCGGGATAAACTGTTATGAGAAAGTGTTCGGTTGAAATTGGTGAGTTGGTGCTGACTATTGTAATGTTATCAGATTGACTCTAAGAAGTAGTTACTACAATTTGATCTTTAGATGCTGATTGTGTAATAGGGTAAGTAGTATGTAACTTGAAATCAATAACAGTGGAAGGATTTTTTGGAGTTAGTGGTGAAGGAACAGCATGCTGAACAACAGTGAATGGTAAAGATGAAGATGTATGCAATGTATCAGATGAACAATCAAAAGTACATAAATTGGGACCAGAATTAGACCTTGAATTGAAACCAAGATTATTGGCAAAAGGAAATTCATGTTCATTAAACTTGACACTAGGTTAGATGACTATTTTTCTTATAGCCTTTATGAACAAGGTTTTATTCTACAAAAACACATTTGGCTGAATGAAAGTAGAAATTTAACTTAGTTGAAAATTTTAAACTAGGTAATTGAAGTTCAGATTGATAATATGTGAGATACTTGCTTTTCTACTCCATCAATTTGATTTTGGTTTGGTGTTGCAGTACATTTTGTGAACTTTCAGGGGTACTCTTTCTTTTTTGTTGCTATTTCATAAGTTTTTGTCACATATTGTATACCCCAGAATAATTATAATTTATTTGTAATTATTTAGTTTCTTGCTTGACTTATTGATTATGCATTGAATTGATGGTAGGAAAAAATGATACATTCATGCAACAATGCTTGAAGGAGCAGCTCATCTTACTTGAAGGAGCAAAAGCAGAGTTAAGGCGTATAGTGCAACAACAAGAAAATAAGATTAAATAGTTGGAGGAGCAGCTCATCTTATTTGATCAACAAAAACAGAAAATAAAAATGCTTGAAGAACAACATTTTCAAATGTTGGAGATGCCGAAATATAAAACAATTATTTTGTTGATGTTGAATGTATAATATTAAACGAAATGCTTGAATGTATAATATTAAACGAAACAGAAAACAAAATGTAAGAAACCAAATTGGGTATATCTTTTGGATTTCACATTCAGCGTCTAAAATGATTAGAATTAACCACTAAATTTTGGTCACCAAAAGATACATTCGTTTACTAACAAAATAGTCGCGAAAACCTTTTGGATTCCACATTCAATGTCTAAAATGACTATAATTAAATACTAAATTTTGGTCACCAAAAGATACATTCAGCCACTAATAAAATAGTCGCGATAACCTTTTGGATTCTACATTCAGCATCTAAAAGTATTACAATTAACCACCAAATTTTGGTCGCCAAAAGGTACATTCGTCGACTAATAAAATAATTACGAAAATACTCTTACACCTTTAGCGTCTAATTTTTGTGGCATTTGCGACAAATTATTAGACACTAAAAGGTACATTTTGCAACTAATTGATTAGTTGCGATACCATTTTACCAAATTATCCTTGAACAATTAGCGTCTAAGCGGGGGGACTATTTTAACCAGCAATTAGCGACTAATTTGCTAGTCGCTAAAAAAAAAATTTCTGCGTCTAACCAAAAATTTAGACGCGCATACTTTCTACAACAGTGATTCCGCAACTATGTGGCGAGTACGGAATTTAGACGCGAAATATGGTTTAACGTCTAAATTTTACTTTCTGCGTCTAATTTTGATAGATGCTAAAAGACATTTTTCTTGTAGTGATATCGTTAATGGCAAACTTGTCACCAATTAAGTACACGACTTTCACAAACTTCCAAATGAATACATAACACTCCAAGACTCTTTTGTAGCTGACTGCTTAATTGAAAAGCTTCCAGACTCTTGGAAATATTACAAAAACAATATGAAGCATAAAAGGAAGTAAATGAGCCTTGAAGATGTAATAATGCACATACGAATTGAGGAAAAAAATGGACTTAAAGATAGAGCTGAAACTGCTAAGTAACTAAGTTCCAAGGCACATGTGGAAGAAAATAAACCATTTAATCCTTAATTCAATAATAAGAAATAAGTCCCTAAACCCAACACTAAAAAGCTGCTATATAGTAAAAACCCCGTTTTAATAAAGAATGGACAATGCTTTGTATGTGGAAGGCTTGGGAATTATACAAATCAGTGCCGATATAGACATAAAAAACCAATTCAACAAGGAGACCCAACTCCTTCCAAGGTCAATCTGACCGAAGGAGATGTTAAGATTATTTCTACTATGGTGGTCTCTGAAGTGAACGTGGTTGACATTGAGAATATGGATTTGAATATTTGATTTTTAGGGGCACCAAACACATCTATGGTAACAATAATCAATTTCATGCTAATACACCTGTGGCAGAAGGTGAAGAATGAGTTTATCTTGGGCACTCCTGATCTACACTAGTGATAGGCCAAAAAAATATTCTTCTCAAGTTAACTTCTAGTGTATCCTGACACTGAATAATGTGTTCCATGTTCCAAGTATCATACACAGCTTGGTGTCTATTTATGTTTTAGGCAAAACCGGTCTTAAAGTGTCATTTGAGGGTAATAAATTTGTAATCACTCAAAATGAGGTTTTTGTAAGGTAAAGTTTTGTAATGGTGAGTTCTTTAAGGTCAATGTACTGAAAGTGATAGTTAATAATAATGGTGTCTATTATGTTTTAGGAAAAACTTGCTTATATATATGGTTGTTTACTTAAGTTTGTGGCATGGTAGAGGTCACGTTAATTTTTCTTATATTAAGAAAATGAATGATTGTGGTTTGTTGTCTAGTACTAAATTTTCTAATTGTGAAAAATGAGATGTTTGTGTAGACTTTAACACAACAAAGAAAACTTGCAAACCAATAATTGAAAGAGAGTATGAATTACTTAGTTTAATTCATAGTGACTTAGGGGACCTAAAACAAACTACGACCAGAAGGGGTAAAAAGTTCTATGCGACTTTCATAGATGGTTAATTTAGATATACTAGGGTATGTGTATTAAAGCATAAAAATGAAGCATCTCATATGTTCTTAATCTATAAAAGTGAAGTTGAAAATTAACTTAACCAATAGATTAAGAGATTAAGAACTAATAGAGGGGGTGAGTATGAGTCTAAAACATTTAATGCTTTTTGTCATGAGAATCATGGAATAATCCGTGAAACTACACCTCTCTATCCACTTGAATCAAATATAGTAGCTGAAAGGAAAAATAGAACTTCAAAAGAAATGATGAATGCTATGTTAATAAGTTCTTGAGGACCACAAAATTTGTAGGGGGAAGCCATTCTATGGGCTTGCCATATTCAAAATACAATACCTTAGAAAACTATGAAGACACCATATGAATCGTGGAAAGGTTATAAACCTAACTTGAAATATTTCAAAGTGTAGGGTTGTCTTGTAAGGTCCTAGTACCTGAGCCTAAAAGAAGTAGGCTATGACCTAAAACAGGTGATTGCGTGATTATAGGGTATGTCCAAAATAGTGTAGCATATAGGTTCTTAGTTTTGAAATTGTGGATAATATATTGAAGCTAACAAAGTTCTTGAATCTAAGGCTATTGATTTCCTTGAGTCTATTTTTCCTAAAAAGTTAACTGTTTGTTAATGCTAGATTTTAACACCAACGACTCGCACGTGCAAAGTGCTAAGCTGTTCTTAAAAATTACACGTGAATGATTGGGATAATCGAATGCAAAGACTAAATAATAAATAAGAGATGGTTTTTAAAGTGGTTCGGATGCTTAAAGCGAATCCTACATCCACTATTCTTTTATAAATGAGAGATTACAAGAGGTGGCATATAGCGAACAACGAGCAGAGGTACAATAACTGAGTATTCTGATAGAATATCAAGTTAGTCTCTTTTTCGTAGGTTATCTTTGCTCTGAAAGTTAAAGATTACAATCAGAATGTGGGTTCAGTATCAGAATCCCAAAAATGAGAGGGAGAGTCCTCTATTTATAGTAGAGAAATTCAAGGTAATGATTACAAATCTGCAAGTGGGTAGGTGCTGTGCAAGTCATTCCTTGTCTCTCATTGACTGATAACTTAAGAGATATCCTCAAATTACCTGGGGCTTGGACAAGTATGCAACTCTCATTCACTCATGGATAAAACTTGAATCTGCCAAGTTGGTGACAGCCATATTATTCCTGTCATAGAGTGACGCGGCAGCTCCTGGATGGCACAAAACCTTCATGAACTCTGATTAGTACTTGCTGACGTGGGCTAACATCAACCCTGATTTTTTAGGCATAACACTGTTGATCAACCTTTACTCCAGATAGAATCTCAATATAGTTCTTCTAAAGATTTAGATGTAAAACCCAGAAGAAGTAGAAGAATGAGAAAAGCTACTAGTTTTGGAAATGATTATATCTTTCTTTTTGGCTCAGATTCTCAGTCTTATGACAAAGCTATGATTTCTCATGATATACCATTTTGGAGAGAGGCTGATAACAATGAGATATAACCAATTATGACTAATCATACTTGGAGGATTGTTGACTTGCCTGCAGGAACCAAAACAATAAGGTGCAGGTGGATATTATAAAGAAAATTGAAGGCTAATGGAACAATTGAGAAATATCAGGCAAGATTAGTTGTCAAAAGATTTTCTCTAAAGAAAGGTACGGACTATTTTGATACTTATGCTCTAGTTTCCATAATTGCATCCATTATAGTATTGGTGGCTCTTGGAACAATTAATAATTTATATGTTTATCAAATGGATGTAAAAATTGTTTTCTTGTATGGAGACTTGGTTGAGGAGATCTATATTGACAACCTAAAGAATGTGTTATCCCAAGTAATGAGCATAAAATATATAAGCTTGTAAAATTATTATATGGTTTAAAACATGCACCAAAACAGTAGCATGATAATTTTGTCAATTGTTATTATCAAATGGTGTTTTGATCAATGATTTAGATAACTATGTGTATTATAAATCATTTGACACTAACACTTATTTTTGGAACAAGCATGGATATAATAACTAATAGCTGAGGCAAAAAGATTTCTTGCTTCTAGTTTTTAAATTAAAGATTTGGGAGAAGCAAACGTTATCCTTGGATAAAAATTATTAAAACCAATGGAGGTCTCATGTTGTCTCAAAAGCACTATGTCGAAATATTTTTGAGAAATTTTGGGTTCTATAAGTGTACACTTGTTTCTACACCATATGATGCAAGTACCCAATTAAAGAAAAATCATGAGTGCTGTGTTAAACAATTAGAGTATGCTAAAATCCGGAAATTATACATATTAATATTTTTTTAAAAAACTTGAGGGTAGGTCATGGCCCACCCTCAACTAGTACTGCATTTGCCCCTGGTTGTTTAACGCAATTAATACTGACTGTAGATGCAAAAATCTACCTTTACGGAAAAAGGGACTGATCCCGTGAGGTTAAGGCCATTAGCAATCTGCTGCACCTGCACACGCAAGAAAACAAGCGTGTAGCGGATGAAAAACACCGAGGTGGTGTTTGCCGTAGGCATTCTGACGCTCAAGTCAGCAAGGCTGAATGAGACTAGTTTAGTGAGGGTTAGGGAGAGGAAAGGTTACCAAAAGTCTAGTTGGAGACTATGACTGCGACTGTAATGCGAAGTTCTCAAAAGTGGGAACTCCTGGGTCTAAAGGTGTAATGTCTTCGTCCTTTGTGAGAGAGCTGACCTCTGTTTAAATAGTGATTGCAAGGTCTTCAAATCTTGGTGGGACTGGGAGTCCTTGCAGCGGTGGTTTTCTGAAAGAGTGGAGCATTTGGCTCCCTTATCTCAGTAGGAAACGAAGTCCCAGCATGCCTAGGATACAGACCTTAGATGAATCAGGATAGTGATTGACTTCTTTAGTAGAGTTCAAGTAATACTATAGTTCGTAGGTGATTGTGGGCTCCAAGTTGATTGTAAGTCCAGAAGGTGTCTTAGGATCAGAAGGCTTGGGTCCAGATGGTGAGAAACTGGGAAAGCATACCGAATAGGCCTCATCTATAGAACTATGTTATGGGCCCAATCAAAATTTGGCCTAAGCTTCTAGCTTTGTTGAAGGTATCTTCGTTTTTGGACCTATTTG